GCTTTTGCTTTGTGAGCGCCTCGCTGCTTCCTGGATGTGGTTGCTCTATAGCTTCATGTCAACTCGAAGCTGTAAGAGTGGAGGCGGGGAGTCCAGCCTGTCAGCCAGGTCATGGTCTGATGACCTCCCCATCAGGAGGGTCCTGGGGAACCTCCCCCCCCCTCTCTGTTTCACCCTCCTGCTGTCCAGTCACTCGGAGGGCTGCCAGAGACACGTCGCCATTGGATCCCCCGAGTCTGCACTCGGGGCCTGTGACAGCCCGTGCTCTGCGTGAGTCTGCAGAGGGACTTACGGACTTGATCTGGACTGGGCGACCTGTTTCCTTGATGTCTCAGGACTCCTTGATCGAACGCTCTCTCTGACACAGATGAGCGAGCATCCTTGGATTCGCTTCTCCAGTCAACCTGGACTCACACACTGGACTGGACGGAAACCAAGCTGAGCCGAACCGAATGAAACCAGACAAACCCAGCCAACTCAGCCAAAGCCGTGCCGTGTCGCCAAGTCTCACCGATCGCGACTGCAGGGCAGAGAAGAGCCACCATCGGGTTCCCACGCTTTGGGGCATGTCGTTACGTAGCCATATTTGGCCAGTCACGGTTTTCTGTCCCACTCCAAGGGATGGAGTAAGGTTTGCTGAGCTCCTCATATAAGGCACTTTAAGAGTCATCAGACTAAGACTTGGGAGAAATGAAATACGGTCAGTTGTACCCTTTGGGTTCCAATCAATACTGGAGAGTGTAGCATGGATCCCACAGGGACCCACGTGTAGGAAGGGTAGACTTTAAAAAAGCCAAGCTCATCCGTCAAAGCCAATGGCGTCTGATGTTTTTATGTGTGTTTCTGAATTTGGATTTGCTAATTGTCTTCTTTTCAATCTGCAATTCACCAGCGGAAGTGAGTCCAATGATCCTCCATTTACGGCTGGAACGAGGTTCTCAGCGTACAGATTTCTAAGTGTCATCTCTCTCTCTCTCTCTTTTAAAGGCACACGGAGGGAAGTTTGATTAAATCGACTTTTATAGCCCTGGCTTTCTAAACAACGAGAGTTAGTTACAATGGGGTGGTGTCTGCGCTCGCTCAGCTCTTCAGCCACAGAACTCTGAGCAGCTTACAGAAACTGGAGCTGCTAGCCTGGCATTTATTCCATATGCAAATAAAGCACATAAAATATTCCATCAAGTCCTTTAAATAGTCAGCCAAACATGTCTTTTTTAATTATTAGATCAGGAGGCTCAAATATAGGGACTCTTTATTGGCTTAATTAACATATTAAAAATACAATTCGGTGCCAGCGTCCTCTGTTCTGATCCCAGCTTTGAAACACCAGTAGCTGCTCTGTGAGGCTTGAAATTCTAGTCCTATAAGTCAATAGCTGTATTTCCTATTAATGGCCTTGTTATGTGTTCCGATCCGGACGGGAGGTGCCGGGGAGGAAGGCATACACGGGAAGGCGGATGGTGAGTCTCTGTTTGCTCGTTGCTGCACCAATATTGAAGGTGCTTCATTCTCTGCTTCCACAGAAGCCGCTAAGGCAGTGCCTGTCGGGTGTTTCTGGTCTCCAGGTCCTGGCTCATGGAACCCCACCCTGGGGGCCACTCTCTGGTGGCGGGGGCTGAGTTATGGCGGGCGCAGCCCAGGGCACTGGGGTCCTTCAGGGGAGGGGCCTGAGGAGGAATGAAGGGTCTGAGAGAGGAGGGTGAGTCAGTGGAGAAGGAAGTCCCTCCCCGCTCCTTCTGCCCCTTCCATAGGTGCTAGCGCTTGCCCCTGGAGAGTCCTTCTTGGGGACCGGCGTCACCTCCTCTGAGGCTTCCTGTTCCGTGCCATCTACTGCAAAGGGTGGTCTCCCAGGTTGTGGTTCTTCTAAACAGAGCGACTTGGGCTTAGCTCTTTACCAGCCAGCCTGATGTGGGCGGGAAGCTGCCCTCACAGACAAGGGAAGGGCCTCCCCCTCCTGTCCGTCCTCATGCCCAGGGGGCTCTGTCAGTGCTCCCAGCCTGGGGACGCACCTCTCCAAGGGCAAGCTCCAGCTCTCTCCCTCTGGACCCCAGGTGGCAGCACCACAATGGGAAGTCTGCCTGGATTACAGAAGATGCCGACCTGGGACCCACTGCCCTGCCTGGGTGCAGGGAGGGCTTTTGCCTGAGGGGTTGATTAGAGCCCTGAGTCTCATGAACCGTGTCTACTGTCACCTGATGGTGGCTCCGCTGGGCTCCTGGCTGCCCTTTGGTGGACGTCACGCATGTGGAGGTCCTTGTGTGGGTGGCCTTTCAGAAGCAGATCACCGGGGCTTGCTTCTCCAGCACCTCTGGGTGGGTTCGAACCTCCCACCTTTCAGCTGTGGTTGGGTGAGTAACCATTTACACTCCCTGTGTCAACAAGGGTCATGTTCCATTCCTGGCTCTTGCTGGTCACGATACGCCCCTGCTTCTCAAAGGGCTCATTTCATACACAGCAGGCTGGCACTGCAGGGACTCCTGTTCGCAATTACCCAGAGTGAATCTTCTCCGTGTCTTCCCCCACCTTCGTACCAGACCCAGGCAGGGAAGAGTTGTTTGGTGGGAGCTAGAGACTTTGCTAGGAGAGCCACATTCAATCCTTCCCTGCCCCTGCACAAGGTCAGCGCAGCCTTGCCTTTCCCATGCGAGTGGACTTTACACTTCCTTACATTTCAGGTGTGGCTGGCATCTCTGTCTCTGTCTCAACCCCACAGTCCTTTCCTGAGAATCAAAGCCTCTTCTCATGTCTCATTTCCTGACCAGGAAGGCATCCTCAGGTGGGAGGCAGGCCTGACTTGTGCTAGAGAAGCAAAT